GGGGCCGTTACCCTAAGCCCCCGCCGTCCTAGGGGTGGCCCTCTTCCAGGCCAGCAACGGTGGGGGGAGGAGTCATTAAGGGGACAGTCACATGACCGGTGCCCCACTCGTTTCCCTCCCCAGTTCCCCAATGGTGTCTCCCAGAGAGAAGGGTCTGGAGTTGAAGACCCCTCTGAGAGCCGTCGTTGGATCCTAGAACCCCAGGGCTGAAAGAGACTTCAGCAACTCCACCCTGCCCACTGGGACCCACTGCCCGGACCCGCCCCACGAGACCCAAGGAGACGGGCTGCCGAGAACCTCACTCAGCGCACAGTCAACCTGTGGAACTCCTCGCCGGAGGATGTGGTGAAGGCCAGGACTTTAACAGGGTTCAGAAAACAGCGAGATAGATTCCTGGAGGTTAGGGTCTATCAATGGCCTGGCCTCTGGTTGTTTGGAAAAGGGAGACAGGGGAGGGATCACGTGTGGATTCCCTGTTCTGTTCCCTCCCTCTGGGGCACCTGGCTTTGACCCCTGTTGGCTGACAGGACCCTGGACTGGATGGACCTTTGGTCTGACCCGGTCTGGCCATTCTCATATTGTCATGAGAACTACTTGGGATGGGTTTGGTGAGAGATCCCGTTGGAGATCCCAAGCGGCTGATCTTACCATTGGTCCTGTCTGCTGGGGCGCCCCACCACTCTGACCTGCTGGGTCAAAAGCTCTGGTCTTCTGCAGCAAAGGTGGAGTTGGGGGTCACAGCCCCCCCACATCCGAGTGGCACGGACACTGAGATCTGCCCCACCCTCGTGGGACCCACCCCCCCGATCAATCCACCTTACTCTGCCGAAAGTTTATACAGAGCAAGCTCATAACTGATTTGCCCCCTTTGTCAGGGAAGATGCCCCGCTCTCATCCCTCCCCAGCTCAGCATCCTGGCCACTGGGTTTCTCATCCAACCAAAGTGATTTTATTAAGCGTCCAAGGAGGATTGACACCAGCGGTAACAGACAAATCAAAGGACGTTACTACGCAAAATAAAACCCAACACTTCTGCTCAGCCGAATACACCAAGAAAGCCGATTACAAATCATAATTTCTCAGCCTAGTTCTTCTGTCCAGGAAAGTCCTTCTCAGGCCAGAAGTGTCTTTTCCTGTCCAGGTGTTTTCATGAGTCTTCTCCTGGCGGGAAGCCATTTGTGAAGAGAGCTGATGACCATCCTTGTGTGCATCCCACTCCTTACATAGACCCCCCCCCTTGTTCAGTTTCCCCCCCTTCGCCCCAGTGGGAAAGTTCAAACTACAAGATGGATTCTGGAACCTGGGGGCAGGGTCACATGTCTTTGTAGGACCAATCGTGGTCCAGGCTTACAAGGAAGACTATTCACAGATCATTGTCCCGAGCAGTGGGCCATTAAGTTCTCCCAATGGCCCTCACTTAGCACGTCTAGATTAGTCAACAGGTTCATGCTTCATACTTTTCATTTCAAATACAGGAACGATACATGCCCCTCTATAGACTACAGGCCAGCATCCTATAAGCCCAAGATACGTTCCAAACAACTTGGACTTACAGCGAAAGAACTTGAAGCGGGGAATTTTTTTTCCCATGGCGGACTTCCCCTGGTGCAAATTGGGTTTGTTTTTTTGGTGGCATGACTCAAGACCGCAGAATGGGAGGCCTTATAACACATCGGTTCCTGCAAGCGTCAATAACTTGAGTGCAGAACGGACGTAGAGCGGCGCAACTTATAGCCTTGTAGACACGTTCAAGAGGGTACAAGCTCTCCAATGATTGTTTCCCAGTGGTAGTTTGCATAAAGCATATCAGAGCTAGGTGTATTTGTAGTCAGATTTCCGTAAAGCGTGTTAGGGGCAACGACACACCACAGTCTAGAAAGAAAAATGCCAACTCCATGGGTGATGGGGGATGCTAGGAGCCATGAGGAAAACATTAGTAGGGGTCTATCACCCACCAGACACAGCTGCTAAGTGGTGTTAAGCTGTTCCTCTGACCTCAAGTAGCATAACTTATCTCGACTTCCAGATTTCATATAGACCAGCCTCGAGTGGCCGGTGTCTTCACGCCTTGACTAAGCACCCAGGAAGTCATCAAAGTTCAACTTTCGGAACCTTCTTCTGAAGTTGCTTCAGCCACTCTTGGCTATCCCTGTGGATGTTCCTAGCCGCTCTCACAGCCGATTTCATCGAGGTGTCGATCCAGGCGTGAGGCTGGGCGGTGTGTTCTCCGGCAAAGTGGACCCTCCCTTCCTTCTGAAACAGAGGCCCCGAATAGTCGGTGAACTGGTAGGGGGTGAAGGAGGCGTAGGCCCCCATGGAATGCTTGTCCAGGTTCCACCGTTGGATCACGTGTTTATCACAGCAGTACTGGAGCTCTTTCTTGCTGACCTGATGGATTTCTGCCAGATCCTCCATCACCACGTCGATGCACTTCTCGTCACTCAGGGGCACGAAGAACTCCGCGTCATCGTTCCACGTGTAGGAAGCCACGATCACCTCCCGCCCGCTCGAGAAGTCGTGGTTGGGGTAGTAGATGAACCGGGATGGGTGATCCGTGACCGACGGCCCGCCCCGAATCCCGTCCTTCTCCCAGAACTTTTTGGTGCAGGACAAGACCACCTTGGTGGCGGTGGAGTAGTGGATGGAGCGCAGGGCATGGGCCTTGCTGGAGGAGAGCGGGGGCATGAATTGGATGAGGCGTGTGGCTTTAGCTGAGGAGGTGACCAGGACGTAGTCTGCCTTCACAGAGCTGGGGCTTAGGGTATCGGGGGTGCGGTAATACACTCTAAGCCTGTCTCCGTTAGTGATTATCTGCTCGACGGTACAGTTGAGGTGGACCACTCCAGGCATGGACCGGTGGAAGGCCAGCGGCAATTGGTCGAACCCTCCTGTGATCTCATCAAAGCTGCAAGAAACAACAAGAGATGGGTGACCAAAGAGCATCTCGCAATAGCCTCTTGTGTGCTAAGCTAGGGGGAGAGGTAGATACGTTGGAGGGCAGGGATAGAGTCCAGACTGACCTGGACAAATTGGGCATAACGTCGACAGAACTCAGCAGTTTTGTCAACGCTGGTAAACCTCATTTTACGAGGCATAACACCTTTTGTCGACAGAGTTCTGTCGACAGAAGGTGTTATTGCATGCAGGGTTGTGTCTAGACTACAGGGTTTGTTGACAAAGCAGCTTGCTTTGTCAACAGAACTGAATGTGTCTAGACGCTCTGTCGACAAAACTTCTGTCGACAAAAGCCTGTAGTCTAGACGTACCCAGTATGTCTACACTGCAGGGACACCTCAGAATGAGTCCAAGGCTGGCTTCCCTCATGTAGCTATGCTCTCTGAGGGTACGTCTAGACTACAGGGTTTTGTCGATGGAAGTTTTGTCGACAGATACTGTTGACAAAGCTTCTGTTGACAAAGAGCGTCTAGACGACATCCAGTTCTGTAGACAAAGCAAGCTGCTTTGTCAACACGAGAGTGTAGATGCAAAGGACTGTGTCGATGCAATAACGCCTTCTGGTAACAGAACTCTGTCGACAAACGGTGTTATTCCTCGTCGAATGAGGTTTACCGCTGTCAACAAAACTGCCGAGTACTGTTGATATCATGTCAACAGAACGTGACTGTAGTATAGACCCAGGTATAGTTTTGTCGACAAGGGTACGTCTAGACTACAGGGTTTTGTCGACAGAAGTTTTGTCGACAGATACTGTTGACAAGGTTTCTGTTGACAAAAAGCGTCTACACTACATTCAGTTCTGTCGACAAAGCAAGCTGCTTTGTCGACATGGCAGTGTAGACGCAAAGGACAGTTTACATGCAATAACGCCTTCTGGCGACAGAAGGCGTTATGCCTCGTAAAATGAGGTTTACCAGCGTCGAGTTATGTCAACATGATGTCAACAGAACTCGGCCGTTTTGTCGATGGCGGTAAACCTCATTCTACGAGGAACAACGCCTTTTATCAACAGAGTTCTGTCGACAGAAGGCATTATTGCATCTACACTGTCCTTTGCATCTAGACTCTCATGTCGACAAGGCGGCTTGCTTTGTCGACAGAACTGGATGTCGTCTAGACGCTCTTTGTCGACAGAAGAGAAACTTCTGTCGATAAAAGCCTGCAGTCTAGACATACAGCCCAGGAAAATTACTTAGAACGGGCCTGGGGAGGGGCTAGTTTGAAATAGCAGAAGTGGAGCGTCTACTCACGCCTTATTTCGAAGTAGCTATTTCACAAGAGGCGTTATTCTTCGACGAATGAGGTTTACAGAAGTTGGAATAAGCCGTCTGGTATTTTGAAATTATTTCGAAATAACGGAATTGCTGTGTTGCCGCTCGCATTGTTATTTCAGAATAGCGGCCATTACTCCGAAATAACGTTGGTGTGTAGACACACCCATAGCTGACCCCTCCCAGAGCTGAAACGGTTCAGCGTCTGTGCGGCTCTGTAGGAGGCTGGTAACCCCAACGCTGTGGTTTCTCCAGGGGAGACCAGAGGGTCTTGGCCCAGCAGCACAGGGTGGTGGGAGGACATTGGATTCTCACCCGTCTTCATGAGAGAAGATGTCAAACTCCATGAGAGAGTTGAGGAACGACAGGTGGAAAATCCGGAATCCTCGTTCAGGAGGTCTCCGATCATCTGCACCGCCCCGGGGCTTAAATACCCCTCTTTAATCAAAAACTCCTGGGAGGGGAGGAACGCAAATAAAAATGCGGTTTTCTCTCTTGAGACACAAGAGATCCCACTTCTGCCACCAACGAGCGGCCCGGGAGCATGACGGTTGGGGAAAGATTTGTCTCCCACCCAAAAGAGTGGGCACAAAGTCCCGTGTCCCTGAACCCAGGAGAGACAATCAACAGGAGGCAACGCCCCAGCTGAGAAATCCAAGCCCGCCTCTCCAGAAAATATGGTGGCCAACAGAAGCTCTATCCTTGGTTTTCCTCCCGGGGCCCTCTTCACCACTCAGACGCTCAATTTCTCCTGGATTTCTCCCCCTCTCGCGCACAGACAGTTGCGAACCATCAACTGCCTGCCCTCTGCAATCACCCCAAGGGAACTGTCTCCAACTTGGCTTCCTAGTGACTCACCCATACGTCCTAACAGTGCCTTGGGAAGTGGCTTCCATTTCCTCCAGCTACATTAGTCTATAAAGATGCTTAATTGCTTCTTCACAGAATCCTAGACCACTAGGACTGGAAGGGACCTCGAGAGGTCATTAAGTCCAGTCCACTGTCCTCATGGCAGCACCAAGGACCGTCTAGACCATCTCTGACAGGTGTCTGTCCAACCTGCTCGTCAGTATCTCCAGGGATAGAAATTCCACAACCCCCCTAGGCAATTTATTCTAGTGTTTCACCACCCGGACAGGCAGAAAGTTTTTCCTCATGTCCCACCTCAACCTTCCTTGCTGCAGTTTAAGCCCATTGCTGCTTGTCCTTAGAGGCCAAGGAGAACAATTTTTCTCCCTCCTCCTTGTGACGCCCTATTAGATACTTGAAAACCGCTCTCAAGTCCCCTCTCAGTCTTTTCCTTTCCAAGCTAAACAAACCCAATTCTTACAGTCGTCCCTCCTAGCTCGTGTTCTCTAGGTCTTCAGTCGTTCTTATTGCTCTTCTCTGGACCTTCTCCAACTTCTCCACCTCTTGTCTGAAATGCGGTGCCCAGAACTGGACACAAGACCGCAGCTGAGGCCTGATCGGCACAGAGTAGAGCGGAAGAACGACTCCTCGTGTCTTGCTCCCAACACCCCTATGAATTTGATGCTTTCCCTCTTTCCTTCACTAGTGCGTCGAATCGAGGACAATCCCGATAGGAAAACAGGCCTCAGTAGGTCCCATTGGGACAAACCGGCCCGTGTTCCCCCTCTCACAGAGCTATGACTTTTCCCAAAGATTTGGATTTCAAGGGACTCCAGGGCCGAAAGCCGATACCTTGGTGGAAAAGGAGTCATACTGGGAGAGCAACTTCTTACAGTCCCCGCTCCGGAATTTCTTCAGTGCCTGTGTGGGAACCAGGAAGAGAAACACTGAGAGACAGAAATCCAAAGACGTTCACAAAAGCATTGGACCCAACTGAGCTCTCCTGTCTAACTCGCTAGGTACTTAAAGGACCTTCCTTGTCAAGAGAGCTGTCGATTTCATAATCCCAGATGGATTTTATTCCCCGAATACTCCTTTGATAGAGGGAAGAATTGGTCAGTTTCACAGCTCACTAAGGGTATGTCTAGACTACAGGGTTTTGTCGACAGAGACTGTCGACAAAGCTTCTGTCGACAAAGAGCGTCTAGACGACATCCAGTTCTGTCGACAAAGCAAGCCCATTTGTTGACATAACAGTGTGGACACAAAGGACAATGTAGATGCAATAACGCCTTCTATCGAGAGAACTCTGTCGATAAAAGGCGTTATTCCTCATAGAATGAGGTTTACATACGTCGACATAACTCAAAGGCAGTGTGGACGCAGGTATAGTTTGATCGACAAAAGTCCACTTTTGTCGACAAAACCCTGTAGTCTAGACATACCCTTAGTGAGCTGTGAAACTGACCAATTCTTCCCTCTATCAAAGGAGTATTCGGGGAATAAAATCCATCTGGGATTATGAAATCGACAGCTCTCTTGACAAGGAAGGTCCTTTAAGTACCTAGCGAGTTAGACAGGAGAGCTCAGTTGGGTCCAATGCTTTTGTGAACGTCTTTGGATTTCTGTCTCTCAGTGTTTCTCTTCCTGGTTCCCACACAGGCACTGAAGAAATTCCGGAGCGGGGACTGTAAGAAGTTGCTCTCCCAGTATGACTCCTTTTCCACCAAGGTATCGGCTTTCGGCCCTGGAGTCCCTTGAAATCCAAATCTTTGGGAAAAGTCATAGCTCTGTGAGAGGGGGAACACGGGCCGGTTTGTCCCAATGGGACCTACTGAGGCCTATTTTCCTATCGGGATTGTCCTCGATTCGACGCACCAGCGAAGGAAAGAGGGAAAGTATCAAATTCATAGGGGTGTTGGGAGCAAGACACGAGGAGTCGTTCTTCCGCTCTACTCTGTGCCGATCAGGCCTCAGCTGCGGTCTTGTGTCCAGTTCTGGGCACCGCATTTCAGACAAGAGGTGGAGAAGTTGGAGAAGGTCCAGAGAAGAGCAATAAGAACGACTGAAGACCTAGAGAACACGAGCTAGGAGGGACGACTGTAAGAATTGGGTTTGTTTAGCTTGGAAAGGAAAAGACTGAGAGGGGACTTGAGAGCGGTTTTCAAGTATCTAATAGGGCGTCACAAGGAGGAGGGAGAAAAATTGTTCTCCTTGGCCTCTAAGGACAAGCAGCAATGGGCTTAAACTGCAGCAAGGAAGGTTGAGGTGGGACATGAGGAAAAACTTTCTGCCTGTCCGGGTGGTGAAACACTAGAATAAATTGCCTAGGGGGGTTGTGGAATTTCTATCCCTGGAGATACTGACGAGCAGGTTGGACAGACACCTGTCAGAGATGGTCTAGACGGTCCTTGGTGCTGCCATGAGGACAGTGGACTGGACTTAATGACCTCTCGAGGTCCCTTCCAGTCCTAGTGGTCTAGGATTCTGTGAAGAAGCAATTAAGCATCTTTATAGACTAATGTAGCTGGAGGAAATGGAAGCCACTTCCCAAGGCACTGTTAGGACGTATGGGTGAGTCACTAGGAAGCCAAGTTGGAGACAGTTCCCTTGGGGTGATTGCAGAGGGCAGGCAGTTGATGGTTCGCAACTGTCTGTGCGCGAGAGGGGGAGAAATCCAGGAGAAATTGAGCGTCTGAGTGGTGAAGAGGGCCCCGGGAGGAAAACCAAGGATAGAGCTTCTGTTGGCCACCATATTTTCTGGAGAGGCGGGCTTGGATTTCTCAGCTGGGGCGTTGCCTCCTGTTGATTGTCTCTCCTGGGTTCAGGGACACGGGACTTTGTGCCCACTCTTTTGGGTGGGAGACAAATCTTTCCCCAACCGTCATGCTCCCGGGCCGCTCGTTGGTGGCAGAAGTGGGATCTCTTGTGTCTCAAGAGAGAAAACCGCATTTTTATTTGCGTTCCTCCCCTCCCAGGAGTTTTTGATTAAAGAGGGGTATTTAAGCCCCGGGGCGGTGCAGATGATCGGAGACCTCCTGAACGAGGATTCCGGATTCCACCTGTCGTTCCTCCAC